CCAACTTTGTTCTTCATTTTCAATATTGTTTTGGTTACTCAGGGCCGTGGGCACCTCCATAGGAATTTGAGGACCTACTCCCCAATTTCATTTTTTTTAAAGGCTGTTAAAATTTTGATAAGGATTGCAATGAATCTGTGGTTCATGTTGGACAGTTAAGTCTTAAATCTTCTAATCCATGAATATGGCATCTTTCCATTTATCTAAGTCTTACTTAATTTCTCTCAGCAGTGTTTTATAACTTTCATTATACACATTGTTCATCTCCTTGGGTAAACTTACTCCTGAGTATTTTATTATTTGGGGTGCTACTGGAAATGGGACTTTCGTAATTTCCTATTCAGATTGTTCATTGTTAGTGTAGAAAAATCAACTGATTTTTCTTGTTGGTCTGTATTTGGCAACTTTGCTGAATTTGTTTGGTAGCTCTAGTAGTTGTGTGTGTGCATGTACATGGATTTTCTTTTAATTTTTTAAAAACCTTCACCCAGGGACATTCCCCCCCCCCATTTCTTTGAGAGAGAGAGAGAAAGGTGGAGAGGGAGAGGGGGAGACAGAGAGACAAACATTGATGTGAGAGAGAAACACCAGTCGCTGTCTTCTCAAATGCACCCAGCCAGGGGACCGAACCCCCAGCCTGGGCATGTGCCGTGACTGGGAATCAAATGCACGACCTTTCAGTACACAGAGTGACACTCCAACCAGCGGGGCCACACCAGCCAGGGCACATGTGAATATTCCTCAGGACTTTCTATATATAAGATCGAGTCATCTGCAAATAAAGGTAATTTCAGCTCTTCCATTGTAGTTTGGATACCTTTTATTTCTTGTCATTGCCTAACTACTCAGGTTAGAGCTTCCAGTACAATGTTGGATGAATGGTGAAAGCAGGGAGTTTTGTGTTGTTCCTGATCTTAGGGGAACTTTCAGTCTTTCACTACGGAATATGATGTTAGCTGTGAATTTTTTCAAAAATATCCACTCTCAGGTTAAGGAATTTCCCTTCTGTTTCTTGTTTAGTACAGCCAACAAAGCTATTTTTTGTTTGTTTGTTTGTTTGTTTCTATTTGCATGGAATAACTTTTCACTCTTTCACTTTCAACCTATTTGTATCTTTGGATCAAAAGGTGTAAGATTTTCTTCAGCATCAACTGAGGTAGTGATGTGGATTTCTGCCTTCATTGCGTTTGTGCATTACATTGATTTTTGCATAATGAACCTTGCTTGCATTATGGCATAAATCCTACTTGGTCATGGTGCATAATTCTTTCAAGTTGCTGCTGGATTCATTTTGTGATTATGGCACTGAGGATTTTTGCATTTATATTCATTATATTGGTCTGTAATTTTTTTTATTATTATGTATTTGCCTATCTTTAGTGTCAGGGTAATGCTAGCCTCATGGGATGAGTTCGAAAGTAGTCCCTCCTCTTCTCTGTTCTGGAAGAGTTTGAGAAGGACTGGTGTTCATTCTTTTTTAAATGCAAGGCAGAATTAACAAGTGAAGGAATCCACGGAATCCACTCCTGGGCATTGCTGTTGGGGAGGTTTTTGATTAGTGACTTAATCTTTTTACTTAATATGGTCTATTCCAATATGTCTGTTTTCTATTTCTTCTTGAGTCAGCTTGGTAGTTGGTTTATTTCATCCTAGATTATCATACAATTGCTTACAGTATTCTCCTATAACCTTGTTTCATTTCTGTATGAAATGAAACAAAGTAGTACAGAAATAAATGGTCAGTAGTAATGTCCTAACTTTCATTTGTATTTTAGAAATTTGAGTCCTTTGTTATTTTTCTTAGTCAATCTAGCTAAAGACTTGTCAGTTTGATTGTTTTGAGGGACAGAAGTTGTATTTTTCTCTATTGTTTCTTTATTCTCTATTTTGTTCATCTCACTCTAACCCTTTTTCCTTCCTTCCTTTTGGTGGCTTCGGGTTTAGTTTGCTCCTTTTTGTGTACTTCCTTCAGGTGTAAAGTTAGTCATTCATTTGAGACCTTTCTTCTTTCCTATGTAGGCTTTTATAGGTATAAATTTCCCTCGGAGCACTGCTTCTGCGGCATCCCGTAAGCTCTGTTACGGTGTGTTTTCATTTTGTCTTGTCTTAAAGTATTTTTCTACTCTCCCTTGAGATACCTTCTTTGACCTATTGGATATATGTAATGGTGACCTATTGGATAAAAAAAAAACAAAAAGTGTGTTTTTGGGTTTTTTAGTGAAATATGTCGTTTAATTCCCATCTAGTAGAAAAAAATTGTTATAGAGTTTTAGTTTCATTCCATTGTCAGAGAAGATATTTTGTGTGATTTTAATATTTTTTAATGTGAGACTTGTTTTGTGACCTAACATTTGGTCTACACTGAAGAACACCCTACACGTACTTGAGAAAACTTTCTATCTTCCCAATTAATCGATCCCTTTCAATATACAATGTCCTTCTTTGCCTCTTTTTAAGTTTTTGCCTCAATGTCTATTTTGTCCGATGTTAGTGTAGTCAACCCAGCCCTCTTCTGGTTTCTATTTGCATAAAATATTTTTTCAGTTTTCACCTTCTACCTATTTATATCTTCAGATCTCAAGTGAATCTCTATAGACAACATACACGTGGGTTTTTTGATGATCCAGTCTTTCTTAATTGTAGAGTTGAATTCATTTACACTTAAAATAATTAAGGATAAGATATTCTGCCATTTTGCTATTTTCTTACATATAGGTCACATCATGTCTGTTCGTCGGTTCCTCCATTACGGCTTTGTGTGTTGTGTGTTGTGTGTGTGTGTCTGTAGTGCATCATTTTCATTCCCTTCGCATTTGTTTTTCTGTATATTTTTATTTTCTTGGTGGTTGCCTTTGGGATTATAACTGGTCATGACAACTGAGATGCTAGGATGGTGATGCTTTGAGAGGAGGGTCCCCCATTTTCCAGGGTGCCGGCACCCAAATAAAACCACATTCCTTTACATCACTAAGTACTGCTTTTGAAGTGGCAGTCAGCTGGACCTGCGTTTTGTTACAGATTCTTGTCTGTGCCCCGACCGGCAATGAACCCACAACCTCGGTGCATCCGGACAACACTCTAACCCAGCTAGGGCTCCCCAGCTGGGCCATATTCCCAGATTTTATTTTATTTTTTTTAAGTATTTTTATTGATTATGCTATTACAGTTTTCCCAATTTTCCCCCTTTATCTCCCCTCCACCCTGCCCCTCCCACCCCCCAGCATTCTCCCCCACCTTAGTTCATGTCCACAGGTTGTACATATAAGTTTTTTGAGTCCTCTGTTTCCTACACCATTTTTTCTCTCTCCCCATCTATTTTATGCCTACCAATTATGCTTCTTCCCTGTATCTTTTCCCCCCATTCCCCCCTCTTGCTCCCCACTGAACTCCCTCCATGTGATGTCCATTTCTCTGATTCCATTCCTGTTCTGGTTGTTTGCTTAGTTTTTGTTTTCATTGTTTTCCTTTTCTTTTAGGTTGATTTGTTGATAGTTGTGAGCTTTTTGTCATTTTATTGTTCATGTTTTTTATCTTCTTTTTCTTAGATAAGTCCCTTTAACGTTTCATATAATAAGGGCTTGGTGATGATGAATTCCTTAAACTTGACCTTATCTGGGAAGCACTTTATCTGCCCTTCCATTCTAAATGAAAGCTTTGCTGGACAGAGTAATTTTGGATGTAGGTCTTTGTCTTTCATGACTTTGAATACTTCTTTCCAGCCCCTTCTTGCCCATTAGGTTTCTTTTGAGAAATCAGCTGATAGCCTTATAGAACTCCTTTGTAAGTAACCAGTCTCCTTATCTCTTGCTGCTTTAAGGATTTTCTCTTTATCTTTAATCTTGGGTAATATGCCCATGGTGATATGCCTTGGTGTGTTCCTCTTTGGGTACAACTTCTTTGGGACTCTCTGGGCTTCCTGGACTTCCTTTGCCAGATTGGAGAGGTTTTCCTTCATTATTTGTTCAAATAAGTTTTCAATTTCTTCCTGTTGCTCTTCTCTTTTTGGCACCCCTATGATTCAGATATTGGAACGTTTCAGGTTGTCCCCGAGAATCCTCAGCCTCTCTTCATTTTCTTGGATTCTTGTTTCTTTTTTCTGATCCAGTGGATGTTTATTTCTTCCTTTTGTTTCAAATCATTGCTTTGAATCCTGGTTTCCTTCTTGCCACTCTTGGCTCCCTGTTTATTTTGCTTTATTTCATTTTGGGTATCTTTCATTTGTTCTTTCATTTTTCAATGAAATTCAATCAGTTCTGTGAGCATTTTGATTACCAGGGCTTTAGATTCTGCATCAGATAGGTCGGCAATCTCCTCATCACTTAGTTTTGAGGTTTTGTTGTGTTCTTCCATTTGGGCCATATTTCTTTGTCTTGGCGCACCTGATAAGTTATAAGGGGGCAGGGCCTTAAGTATTCACCTGGACAGGGCAACCCTCTTTGCTGCTCTACCTGTGGGGCTGGCCTGCTCCTCTCTAGCACGCTTTCCAACAGACTCTGGTGTGAGACTGGAAGTGTCTCCCACCAGGGCAACCCCAGCCGTAGCCCACAGTCAGCTGAGTCTCAGTTTTCCCCTTAGGTCAGTCCCTCCTGGGCAGCTCTGCCCAGATCAGCAGTCAGCCCCGCCCCTCAGCCACCTCCCCTCAGTTTTTCTGAGTCAGCCCGCACTGTCTGCCTTACAGGTCTGGTTGTTCTGGTTGATATTTTAATTCCTTGGTTGTCAGAGTTCCATGCAGTTTGACTTTTCTGGCAATTTTGGTTGTTTGTTGATTTTAGATTAGTAGTTATTCTCCTTTTGGTTGCGCAAGGAAGCGAAGGGTTTCTGCCTACACCTCCATCTTGGCCGGAACCCCCCATATTCCCAGACTTTAGTGTATTGCAAAAGCCCTTAGAATTTTTTTTACAGAAAATTTTCTTAAACAAAATGTCTTAAAAATTGCCTAATATTTTCAGAATTAAAATAGGTCAAACAGAAAAAAGAGAGGGTCCATTTTGTCTACTTACCTCAAAAAGCCTGAAGAAGTTGTATCTTGTTTCATAATCAGTACACAAGACCACCAGGAAGGCGTTCATTGAGATGATGCTGATCATGATTATCTTAAACACAGGGCTCGTTATGATTCTCTTCACAAACGCCTGAAACTGGGTGTCTTTCCTCCTGTCAAAAAGCCGAGTAAGAGTTATAATTATCTCACCACTGAGCTGGATCCCCAAACGCTGCCTCCTTTTTTGTGGGGACTAGGTCTGCCTCCCCCCTTCCATGAGAAAAGTTTATATATACCTTCAAACTGCAACCAAATACTGATTGAATGACCCCTGAAATGTGTATGATGCTCGCCTAGTGTCTCTGTCCTCACTCACTTTCTTGGGTCTTTCTCTCTAGACTTCTGAAGCAGAATGGCTACCACTCCTTCTCAAGCAAAACAAAGCATCATCTTCATTTGCTCTGTCAGCAAATTTTTATTGAGTAACTACTACATGCCAGGCGTTACAGCAGGCACTGCTGATATAACAGAAGCAAATTAAATATTGTTGATCTAGTAAGGAAAACAAATAACAATTAAATAATCACCCAGACAAGTGCTTACAAATCAATGATTAAAAAAAAAAAAAACTAAACACTCGAACAAGAAAATGGGCAAAGACAATCAATTCATGAAACAAATACAATGGCAATAAACTTTCCCCAAAATGGTCAGCAGTACTACTAATCTGGAAGATAGAAATTAAGTAAAACCATTCTTTCTGCTTGTAAAATCAGCAAAGACGCCATCGTGATAATATTTAATGTGGGCCATGGTGTGGTGTGATTGAGCGCTGTCAAAAACTGCAAGGAGGAATGTAAACTGACACTTTCCTGAAAGGCCTCAGAACTGTTCATACCCTCCGACCCAAGGGATCTACCCCAAGAGAATACAATCTGAAATGCAAAACAGTGACTTGGGCCAAATGTGTTTATCCCAGTGTTACTTACCAAAACAATTTAAAATTCTTAACAAAAAAGACTGGTTAAGTAAATTATAGCATATCCATCACATGGAATATTATACAGATATGAAAATATTTATGCATTTTTCATGATTTACAAAAATGTTTATGATCCGCTGAATAGCAAAACATAAAAACAAAACAAGATACGAATTCTCTACTCATTATCTCAACTGTTCGAAAATGGATAGAAAAACTTGACAGAAAATATGTCAAAATGTTGATAGTGGTGAGGTTGTAGGTGATTGTTTTCCGTTTGTCCATATTTATCTGTGCTTTGCAATTTTTCTCAAAGAGTGTAACTTATTTCCACTGTATGTAACAAATGAGCACATTCTCACAACAGTAAAGAAAAAATGCAGATGAATATACTTTTTCAATGCATGAAAGCAAAATGTGTAATTTTCATGATCTGATAGGGTTGGTTACCACCCCCCACAAAAGCCTTTAAATTATCTAACAGTTAACAAGAAAGGATGAAATGAAGTCAAACTCGCTCTACAGGCCAAATAAGAGTGTGACCGAATATCTGACTTAGCCAGTCCTGACACTAAACCCGAACAAGTAACATGGCCTTCCCCAACCCCACCGCTCAGAGACCGGCCCACCAAGGGCTTGTCCCTCAGTTTGGGGGGTGCCACAGTGCCCTCGGGAGGAGGCGGAGAACACTGGCGCCCTGTCCCCTCTGCCACTGGCCCCTTCCTAACAAGCAGCAGAAATGGAGTGTTTACTGGAATTTCCGGCATCTCGCGCAGAACACCGCCAATGTGGTGTCCAACAGGGAATTAGACACGACTCTGGTGTGGGACTGGTAGTACAAGTGTTGAAACATTCTCCAAACTCTCGCCTTTTATTCCTCACTTTTATCACTCCACAGAAAATCTCTGCTTAGAGATTTCCTCGCCATCTAGATTCCAGAGGCCACAGAGAAGGGTCCACGGGGAGAATTCTGGCTTTATGAGGTCACTCTTGGGCATTCTAGCACGTCACTAGCCCGCAGACCCCTGGAGGGCCAACCTCCCTGGACGATCTGGGCAGAGCTCCTCTCTCCCCAAGAACAGGCACCTCAGTTCAGCGAAAGGGTTATGAGTGCCCCGCAACTGTGAAGCTGCAGGCTCACGTTAGGAAAACCAGAGATGGGCCACATGAAAACGCCTTCTCACAGTGTCTTGACAAGCGCAGGCCCTTAATGATATGTTACAATAAGTTAAGGTTCATAGAAGAGGAGAAAGCAAAGTTCTATGAGGTCCTAAGAGCAAGGGCATAGCCTTGGAAACACCTAGAAGGGCGAGGAAAGGTTTTGATGGGTTTGGAGCCAGAACATAAGAAACCAGGCTAACTGGGGATACGGACTGAACATGTGTGAGCCACCCGGAGTGGAATGAGCCCACGGGGCAGAAATGCTTTAGGTACAAGCGCCAATAGGATTTTTCACCCTGTTCGCTTGCTTCTTGGGATTACTATATTCTCCTTGCTCTTCTATCCCTTGGTTTTTAAGGCAAATCAAGACAAAGGGATCTAGGTAGCCCTGTGTTGTACTAAATATCTTTAATTGCTAAATTGGTCAAATTCCTAGAAACCTAAGTTCTTGGGCCATTAGGAAAAAAGTGACCACCCAGCTGTCCCAGGTATTCCAACACAAGTGCAAATGACCATTCCTTGTATGAAAAGAGTCTTGTAGGCAACCAATATACTAAACTGGGAAATAGCATCTTATTTACTCAATTTCTCCATTTAAAATCAGCAGTCAAGCTTTAAGAATCACTTCAATTAACACCCCCAAGATGCATCCTTGAGTCTTGTCTGCTCAGCTGACTTCTCTCCCTCAGGGACCAGCTCCTCCTCCACCTCCTACTGCCTCCTTTGGTCATGTGCCTCCTTACGCCCTCCGGGCTCCTGCTCAACGTCCCCACGGAGGCCTCTTGGAGCAGCTGCTTGGGGAGCACCTGGATCAGTTCTGGTTCCACCTGCCCCAGTGCACCAATGTGCCAGATTCCGTGAGGGGCATATGGAAGGCCCTTGGTAAGTGTGTGCAATGTGAATATACAAACGAATGGGGTCCTTATGCTCACTCACGTAGCTGCGCACAGTGGAACTCCCCCTTCAGAAACTGCAGCGGTGCACTTCTATGCCCTCTTTAAGCACCAATGCAATGCTTTTAAGGAAAACTGGAGAAGAGAATAAGCGTACGAAGAATTCTTCACGATGCTTGGAAGGGTAAGGAGAGGCGGCCAGCTGAGAGCGGCAGAGAAGAGCCCAGCTGTTCCTAGTGCACTGCTTCGGGGCAGCCGACGTGGTTTCTGCAGTCGCCCGGGAAGCGCATCAGAGGTAACCAGCTCATCAGGGTCTTCTGAGTCCGGTTCTTCTCAGGGACACTCGGGCACCCCAGAAGAGGGAGCCACAGGGGCACCTATTCCGCCGGGCAGCAGCAACTCACACACCGCCAACAGGGGTCAAGGCGCTCAGCAGCACTGGGCAGGAGTGTCAGCGGGCGTGGCTGCTCGGCGACGCCAGTCTTCTGGCAGAAAGTTCTCCCTTTGTAGTCCCACGACACTGGCACTGAGACACAAAGCTCACATGTTATAGCCAAACCCTGTAACATTTCCTTTGCAGGAAATTTCAAAAACCCGAGAGTCACAGAGTTCACCTGGCATATTTGATGCTAAATCAGGGTAAAGACCACTTCACACCAACGCGAGTCGTGCGAGACTTCAGTACACTAGTAGGGGTCAGGTTTGTATTAAAAAACATAGGTGCTGCTGTTTTTTGTCTGAAGCAAAAACATAAAAACCATGCCTATCTGATGAACCCAACGATTTCCTAACTTATCAGTGTCAGAAAGTAATTATTTTCAGAATTTTCATTACCTTCATTTTAGAAAAGGAGACTTGTTAACCTGCTGGCCCTGGTGTGTTATCTATGGAGGTCATGCAAGAGGTCATAGGTCACGTCTGCTTCACTCCTCTCTACTCCAGTGATCATTTAGGAAGAAAATGGAGGAAAACCAAAACTTACCACATCAGAGACACCAGTGCCATCACACAAAGACTTGGCACAGAAGGAAACCTGGGGACCTCTAACCTTGCTAACATCTCTTTTAGGATGAAATGTCAGTTACCTGAAATAAGTCCGGGACTCTTCCTTTGGAATTGACCCCAGTGCGAATTTCCTTGGTGTGGGACCCAAGTGTGTGCGTTCCAGCAGATGCGACACCCTGACCGTGAACCGATGTCGAACCCCCCAGACAGATGCTAATTAGCGGCTGCATCCTCGGGTCTTCACCACTGCAATTATGGGCCATGTCCCACTTCCCCTAGTGTGTGCTGTATGCCACACATGTTAACGGCCAATGCGTGGAGCCTCCCAGACTTAGAATACATTCTAAACAGGGGGAAAGGTTTCCATTCAAGGTACAGTGAAACAAGCTGAACTGTACCACCAGAGAGTAAACAAACAAATCCAGAAGGCGGAATACCCCTGACTCAGTTCTTTCAATAAGTCAACAACATGGGGAAGGTGGAGGGAAGGCAGCAGAGCTCACTTGCTCTAGACTGAAAAAAAAATTTTTTTTAATAATAAATTTTATTTAGTTACTTTTCAAGTACATTTTTTAATCTATTTCTCCCATCCCACCCCCCCGCCCCGTCTCCCCCCTCCCTCCAATCCCCCCCCCCCAGTCCTCATCCCTGTGTCTTTCATACTTGTTCCTCAAAATCCCTCCCCCCTTTTTCCCCTTAAATTCCCTTCCCTCTCCCCCTCTGGTCGCTGCCCACTTGTTCTCTATTTCAGTGTCTTTGTTTTTATTCTGTTTGCTTGTTTGTTTTATTCTTTAGCTTCCTGTCAAAGGTGAGATCATATGGTATTTGTCCTTCAATGCCTGACCTATTTCACTCAGCATAATGCTTTCCAGTTCCATCCATGTTGTTGCAAAGGGTAGGAGCTCCTTCTTTCTCTCTGCTGCATAGAATTCCATTGTGTATATGTACCACAATTTTTTGATCCATTCGTTTACTGATGGGCACCTAGGTTGCTTCCAACTCTTGGCTATTGTAAATTGTGCTGCTATGAACATTGTGATGCATAGGTTCTTTGATATTGATGTTTTAGGATTCTTAGGATATAATCCCAGCAGTGGAATTGCTGGGTCAAAAGGCAGGTCCATTTTTATTTTTCTGAGAAAATTCCATACTGTTTTCCATAATGGTGGTACCAGTCTGCAATCCCACCAACAGTGAACTAAGGACCCCTTTTCCCCACACCCTCTCCAACATTTGTTGTTTGTTGCTTTGTTTATGATAGCCATCCTGACCAGTATAAAGTGGTATCTCATTGTGGTTTTAATTAGCATCTCTCTGATAGCTAATGATATTGAGCATCTCTTCATGTGTCTCTGGATATTCTGTATGTCCTCTTTAGAGAAGTGTCTGTTCAAGTCCTTTTCCCATTTTTTAATTGGGTTCGATGTCTTCCTAGAGTGGAGTCGTGTAAGTTCTTTGTATATTTTGGAGATTAAACCTTTGTCTGAGGTATCATTGGCAAATATGTTTTCCCATACAGTTGCTTGTCTTTTTAATTTAATACTGTTTTCTTTAACCATGCAGAAGCTTTTTATTTTGATGAGATCCCATTTGTTTATTCTTTCCTTTATATTCCTTGCTCTAGGGGACATATCCGTAAAAATGTTGCTGCGTGGAATATCTGAGATTTTCTTGCCAATGTTCTCCTCTAGGACTTTAATGGTGTCATGACTTACATTTAAGTCTTTTATCCACCTTGAATTTATTTTGGTGTATGGTGTAAGTTGGTGCTCAAGTTTCATTTTTTTTGCACGTAGCTGTCCAGTTCTCCCAACACCATTTGCTGAAGAGACTATCTTTACACCATTTTATGTTACTGCCCCCTTTGTCAAATATTAATTGACTGTAGAGAGTTGGGTTGATTTCTGGGCTCTCTGTTCTGTTCCATTGGTCTATGTGCCTGTTTTTATGGCAGTACCAGGCTGTTTTGATTACAGTGGCCTTGTAATACAGTTTGATATCAGGTATTGTGATCCCTCCTACTTTGTTCTTCTTTCTCAAAAGAGCAGCTGCTATTCAGGCTCGTTTATGATTCCATATAAATTTTTGAAGTGTTTGTTCTATTAGACTGAAAAATTAAAAAGACACAACAACCAGATGTGATGGGTGCACTTCATGTGGATCCCGATTAGAACAAAATTACTGTCCAAACACATTCTTGACCTTCAGGGCAATTTGATTTAGCCTGGGTGTTAAGTGACACCAAGAAATCATGGTTTATGCTGTTAGCTGTGATAATGGCAGTCAGGTTTACACAAGAAAATGACTGTATTTTCTAGAGATATTTGCTGAAGAATGCAGGGGTAAGATGAAATGCTGTCAGGGTTGCTTTTAAATACTTTAGCAAAGAAAAAGGAAACGGGGCATTACATGAAGTAACTGGGGTAAAATCCTGGATTCGGTGTACTATTCACACTTTTAAAATGTGTATTTTTCCCATGTTTAACAGCTCATGTAAAAAAACTGAAGCACTGAACTACAAATATTTGGTAATAAAATATGTAAGTCCCTCAAAAATCTATAAATAAGAGTTTATAAAATCACATAGATTTGCCTTTTCCTCTAAAAAAAGTACTGAGCAGCACGAGCCAGGGCACCTGGCTCTGCTCTCCCAGCAGCCACAGCGCCTGGGCCACCCCCCCTCGGCCCCTTGCACACTCCACCCCCACAGGGCAAATCGACCGTGTCTGCCTTTCCCGGGCCCACAGGGCCAGCCAGGAACCAGTTTCAGAGAGTTCACCTTGTAACAAACGTGCCCACAGGGTTCCTCGGACTGGACGCTGGGGTGGGGTGGGGCGTGAACTTTCTGGCCTCTGAAGTGAGGGGGGTTACAAAGATGACCCCCATTAAATCCTACCACAATAACCCTTCAAGGGATTAACACATGTTCCTTGGATAAATATAAACAGGGGTGGGCAAAAGTAGGTCTACAGTTTTGAGAACACGAAACACGGAGTTTATTCTTGTATTATATTTATTTATCACTTACTGTTCTCATTTGTATTATTTCCCCACGAATAACTATAAACCTCCCTCTGCCCACCCTGTATACATTTTTAATTTGCATTCTAAGCTCATTAATAAGTACATTCCTGAGTTCCTTCACAGGATGCTGTTATCACAATTTTAATTTTTTTATTTTTTAAATATTTTATTTTTTAAAAGATTTTATTTATTTATTTTTAGAGAGATGGGAAGAGAGGGAGAGTAACATCAATGTGTAGCTGCCTCTCAGACACCCCCCCCCTCGCCCACTGGGGAACCGGGCATGTGCCCTGACCAGGAATTGAACCAGCGACCCCTTGGTTCACAGGCTGGCACTCAGCTGAGCCACAGCAGCCAGGGCTAGACTTTATTTATTTTTAGAGAGGCGAAGGGAAGGACAAAGAGAATGAGAGAAACATCCGTGTGTGAGAGAAACACCAATTCACTGCTTCTTGCACATGCCCAGCAGGGGACCTGGCCAGCAACCAGGAATGTGCCTGGAGACCTTTCAGTCTGAAGGCCCAAAGTGCCACACAAGCCAGGGCTACAATTTTTAAATAACAGACAACTTTCTATTCCATTTCACTCCTGTCCGTGACGCACACAGTAATAGAGCTCATTACTGAATAACACCCAAGTAGCTTGTAGCTCAGTGGCTGTGGAGCTTCAGTTCAGAGGTCACAACAAGCAAATGGTGAAAAAAAATGACCCTTGGTTGCTCCTTAACTCTGAAACTCAAATAATGACCTGGTAAGTTGGTCACTTATGATTGCGAATCCTTCTATTGTCCCACCTTTCTCCCACCTTTCTAGAAACCAGGGACAACACACTTGTTCTCTCCCTTCAACTCCCTTCAGCGAGATAGCTCAGCCAATTTTTGCGACTTTGTAATCTAATTAACTGCGTAATAACAGCAGCTAAAGGTCAAATTCGTAAGAATTGTTACAGATGGTTAAAACCCTCTATCTACAGAGTTCTTCATTATTTTTCTGTCTCACAACTATTTCCCAACACAACATATGGGTAAAGTCACCAGGTTCACCTGAACTTCTGGGTCAGCAAATGTATAAATGCTCCCACATCTCAATTTCTGGTCTTTATGAATGAGCGCTCTCTCGCTCTCTCTCTCAGATGGCATTATTAATGTAATTACGTAGGTCGGTCTGTGTTATATAGGTGATTTAGATATAATGAAAAATACCTCAGACTCAAATGTAAATCCTTTTGTATTTAGCATTGATTTGACAAAACATGGTCTATAAAGTTGAACTTAAATTTACAGCTTAATTTGTTCATTAATCACCTCCAAAATATAATGCACCTGAGAGGTATATAAGATTTTTACATGCATTTTGAAAGATATCACATAGAAGTAGCTGCTTTTTCAATAAACTTGGCCAGTTTCACGTCTCTCTTGGTCAGCTGACCGCAGTCGTGCGAGGTGAGAGTTATCTGGACCTAAGAAAGAGAGAGAAGCAGTTTTTAAACCCCTGACCTGTGATTTACAGTTTTCTCTTTTGGGGGTTCAGAAATCAATCTATATTCCAATGTTCATATTTAAGAACTGAAGAGATTAAATGGTTTAGAAAACATGAATAAGCATAGCATTTCCAAAGCCCAGCAAACTCTGGGGGCGCAGCCTGCTTCAGGCTGGGCCCAGAGGCTGTCCAGGCATAAAAAGGTTCCCTCATACGAAGGGCCACTGAGCTGCCAGAATCTCAAATCTTGTCTCTTGGGAACAAAAGAAGAGACTGAGGTTCCCGTTGAACTCCCATTACTTTAATTACACCCACTATTTTCAAGCCACTGAGAAAAACCAAGCTATCAAATGTAGTATCTCAGCAAGGTTAAAAAAGCTCATTTCTGAATTAGGGAAGTGAGGTGGGGGTGGGATGAAGGAACAGGTTCTTGGTCCTTGACAAATCAATTAAAAGGCAAAAGCAAAGTTATGGGCAAAGAGAGGCAACTGTGAAAGAAAAGTTTATGCTGATACCTGCATGATCCGAATTACCCCAATAAATCACAAAAATATGAAATGTTCTTTTTATTCACAGAAGACTTTCAAAGAGAAAAAAGAACCCAGAAATCTAGATTATAAGACATTCTAAATGTATGACCATAAAGGCAAGGACATTCAGGGGGGGCTGATTCTTCTCATTGTGTCCCCTTAAAACTGCTTGAGGAAGTCTTCTCACCTTGCTCTTTGTCCCAGACGAGAAGGTCGGTTCCCGCTGGGGATACTGCACTGAATAAACCATTATGAATCATCATTATTCAAAGTGCGGTTCTTGAGCATATTTATATCAATGCAAATAAATAAGGCCATAGCTTTCTTATTTGCTACCTTTTGTCTCAATAATTTAATTTAAGAGGGTTTAAAATTTATTCTGCATGGCTGATATTTAAGTTTAATTCAGGAGCCTAATATAGCCCAACTTTCATATTAGTTTCAATAGAAGACAAATATGAAAATACAGGGTTTAGTCACTGTTCTCAAGCAGGTCCAAAATTCTGTTACTAAATTGCAATAATACAGAGATTCTGAGGAAAAAAAGAATACTTTCCTAAGCACAATGACACTTCGCTGCACAGGATGACATGGGGCAAAGAAGTTTCTTGAACTCCTTAATTAAGGTGATCCCAAAATAAGGCAATTTCATTACCTTGTTGTATGCATTGAACCATTCCGGGTGATGATTCATCTTCTCGGCTTGTAGAGCAACTCGGGACATGAAGCCAAATGCCTGCAGAAGACGAAGTCGAAAGTGATTCCTGACGCTGCCCTCTGCCCTGGACCCGAGAGAGACCCCAGAGCACTCCAACCAGATAAAGGCGCGGCCAGGACCCTTAGGGAAGCCTGGAGAAACCGAATCCGAAAGGGACTGCTCTCTGCAGAGCCTGGGTAGCGGCGTAGCAGGACCGTGACCTGCTGCTCCGTGGTGAAAACAATCAGGCTCAAATAAACAAAGCAGGAAATTGGTCTCACCCAGTGACCTGTCTGGACTGTTTAATTGTCCTCAGGACTAGACTCTCCAAAATAGCCCGGGAATAATTTCCCTCCACCCCAGTGCCGGGCCCAGATCTCAGCAGCCCCTTCTCTCCCAGCACTGCTCCTTTTGTTTTCAGCGACGGGGCTGCTCCTGAAGGCGTCAACGTTGGAATGTCTTCTGAGTGTGTCCTAAGCCAAAGCGCTGGTAGAAATGAACCACTTCCCTGCTCCATCTCTCAGGCAGGACAGGAGGGGATGAAGGGCTACTCGTATGGAAACCCAGGATGAGCAGGAAGACTGGCTTGCCCGCTCCGGGTCCTTTTGCCATCGCCCAGCATTGCCGCTCGGAGGAGAAAGGGCCCCGCCTCTCGGCAGAGGGCTCAGGGTGTAGGGGGGCACGGAGCGCTGTCTTCGTACCACAGGGAACTGCAGACCTAATTTTGTTAAGCAGAAGGCAAATTTGTCCTGAGCAGAAAAAAGACTTTTTTGCCTGCTTTCAAATTTTTCTGAGGGCTACTGCGAACAATAGGAGAGTCTGACTCTGTTGTGCCCCGAAGGCAGAAACAGTGGGTGAGACTCCAAGGTGAGGTCACATCGATCACGGTTACAGCAGAATTCACAGGGCAGTCCTCACTGCAGCCACAGAAATAAATACTTTATTTTATCACAACATCCAGAAAAATCAATCTAATGTGAGTTGTGTTGTTTCTGGACCAACAAATGAGAGCAGAGCTCATTTCCAAGTTAACGGTGGGGAATAAATATGGAAGATGCTACTTGAAATAATTTTTGTCATCCACAATGGTTCCTATCTCCGAATCCACTTTATTAAAGATAAAAATGTCCATCTTGACATTTAAGGCCTAAAGGCTTTTCCCTGTTAGAAAAAGGAAGGAAATTCGAGCAGAACCATTTAACCACGCACAAAGCCATCAGTGGGAAGGCAATATTCACTCTCCAGCCCCTTTCGCTGCACACAGTTCCCCCCATTATCCCCACAGTTTAGCCTTCCGTCCCCAGCGGTCCACCACAGTCTGAAAATATTAAATGGAAAATTCCAGAAATAAACAATTCATAAGTTTTAAATTGTGCACCACTCGGACTGCCGTGATGAAATCTCACACTGTCTCCCTCCTTCCTGCCCAGGACACAAACTGTCTCTTTGTCCAGCACATCCCCACTGTGCACACTTCCCGCCCTTGGTCCCCTAGCAGCCGTCGGGCCGTCAGATGGGTTACCAGAGTGAGGGAGAGGCCACATTCACATCGCCTCCATGACAGCATATTGTTACAATCGTTCTGTTTTACTGGCAGTTATGTTGTTAGCCTCTTACTGATTAAACTTTCTAAACTAAACGCTACAGAGGTACATGTGTGCAGGAAAAAATAGCATACGTGGGGTTCAGTCCTACCTGCAGCTCCAGACACCCGCTGGGGTCCTGGCACGTGCTGCCCACAGATAAGGGGGACGCTGCAGTCTGACTCTCTAGACTGTGTGAGGGGAAGGGACAAGTCTAATGGAAGGTCTGTTTTAACTATTCAAACACAGAGTTAACCTATATTACATGGTGTATAGTGAGAATTTTTACTGTCTGTCTATGATGCCTTATTCTTGTTTAGCTCTAGAAGACTTACAAGACTAATCTTCACCTCTGAGACAGTAGTCCAGTTGTCAAGGGCATGTGTTCTGAGTCCTGGATTCAAACCCTAACTCTACTACTGAAATGTCACATAATTTAATTCCAAGCCTCAGTTTTCTCATTGGTAAGATGGGGATGATAATAAAACACTCATGCAACCATTCTACGAGACAATGAGACGGGGCATAGAAAAGCACGAGGAACAGCACTAGGCACAGAGTGAGAGAACCATAGTGGCAGCACTGCTATTGCTCCTGCTTCCCGTCAAACCTCACAAAACAATGACAGGTGACGAGCCCTCCCGGAGCCCCGAGAATCCCAGATTCCAGCGGCTGTGATCCCAGAAAGCAGCCGCTCCTCTCCCCGTGTGCCAGAACGAGAGGCTGACACACAGATGACACACTGTGGGATAGCGCTGTGGTGCACACTTACTGGGGGAAGAGTTTAATGACCACAAACGAGGCAGCCAGTCCGTCACTGCCCAAGCTCTTAAGCCCTGTGGCCAAAATGTCTTTGAACCATGTTATCCTAAAAGGTCCAAGTGGTGCTTAGAATCCCTTACCATTTCCCAAGAGCTGCATGGACCAAATGGGTGACCTGAACATGGGCTCACGCGCTCCTCCAGTCTCCAACTGCATGCGCGCTAAGTGTCAGCAGGACGGCGAAACCTGTGTCATCAGAGATGTGATGCAACAGAACACCCACACCCGAAGAGGCACGCTGACCAAAGGAAAGCATCTACCACATCTATATACACCGTAAACAGGAGGGCTCATCCAAAGGCCCTCTAAGTTGGTGTTTTCCTCGGCTTTATACATTTCCCTCAACTGTCACCTGATGTTCGCATTTAATAAAATATCACCAAGCCTAATAAACCATTTACACAAGATTTACTCCTACCTCCCCCTTAGGGAGAGAACACACGAACTGCTCTGGGGACAAGGGGGCAATTCCACAGCCCTCCTTCCACAGAACAAACCAAATAATCCCCAAAATATTTATCTTTGAATCCACAAATTAAAAACATCCGTAACAATACACATTCAAATTAAAGTAGAATTTCTGCAAAAAAAGTTATATGAGTGGATAAGAGAAGAAAAAAGTAAAACCTCAAAAGGGAATTCTAATTATCTGAAACATAATAAAGAAGGAATATGACTCAACAGCAAACTTGGCAGATGATGAAGAGCATCTGTCCCTCCTTTCTAAGACTTTTTACAGCCCCACCTACTTGTTTCCCAGGATGCCAGTTGGAATTTAAAGGGCCTGAACTAGCTAAAAGCACAGACTTTCTAAAATCATTCCATAAAGATCTAGTCACCATGTTGTATAGCAACTGTAATCAAAAATAAAAATTATTTTTAAAAATAAGGCTGCAAATGGCCCAAGGCCAAAGAGACACCACTAACTACCCAGTAAGAAAAACAGAAATGAGAAAAAGGGCTAAATAAAGCAGAAATCAACAGAAGTTTATAAGATTAGAAAACAATTCAGAAGACAAAGTAGATTTAACATATAGATGATTATTATTGAGAACAAGAAAACCAGAAAAATTAGAAATGTAATTCAAGAAAAATGTTCAGAAATATAAGACTTAAATCTCCAGATGGTAAGAATTCAATCATGTACATACAACCATTGAAGGAAACAAAAATCCTTTGAAGAAAAAAAAAGATCTATTCACCTATAGGGATGAAAAGAATCCAATTGACTTCAACCTTCCACACAGCGATATTCAACACAGAAGTCAGAGAAGCAACACTTATCAAGAATTTAGGAAATGTGCTCTGGCTAGTGTGGCTCAGTGGAATGAGCACCAGCCTGCAAACCGAAAGGTCACCAGGTCAATTCCCTGTCAGGGCACAGGCATGGGTTGAGAGCTAGGCACCCAGTTCGGGGCATGTGAGAGGCAACCAACTGATGTTTCTCTTGCACACTGATGTTTCTCTCCCTCTCTTTCTTCCTCCCTTCCCCTCTCTGAAAATAAATAAATAAAAGTTTAAAAAAAACAATTTAGGAAAGTGCAGAAAATTTTATACCTAGCTAAACTGTTGTTCAAAATTAATGCAAGAGAGAAAATTTTTAATGCAATAATTCGGGGAATAATTCCCATTCATCCTTATTAAGTAAATTTTTATTTAAAAAGAATGAAATAGCGCTGGCTGGTATGGCTCACTGGGTTGGGTGCCAGCCTGTGAACCAAAGGGTCACAGGTTCAATCCCCAGTCAGGGCACATGCCTGGATTGTGGGCCAGGTCCCCAGTTGGAGGCACTTGAAAGGCAACCACACATTAATGTTCCTCTCCCACTCTTTCTCTCCCTTTTCCCCTCTCCAAAAATAAATAATAAAATTAAAAAATGTTTAAATTAAAAAAAGAATGAAATATAAGTAGCTAAGAGATGCATGGAGAAACCATACCAAAGGTACTGACAGTAAGCAATAAATTCACTCAGCTCTAGGAAAACACAAAAAAAACTGTGGGGATTATAATCACAGAATAAAATATAAGAGTTCTAAACTATTAAAGGGACTGAAGGAAAAAGGGAAAGAAATGGAGAAGGTAGATGAAAGTTTTAAAAAGTCCTGAAAGCTGAAATATCAAATGTTACAGATATAAGTATAAAGGTATAAAATATAAGTAACAAAACTAAAATAATACGAACTAAAATTGTATGATAAAGGGAAAATAGAAGTATAATTCTGATATTGCTTAGTGGAGAGACTACTATATGAAGAAATGCCATCTAAACAAATAAAGAATTAAGTTTGCTATGTAAAATCATAGGTATAATAGTATCCACTAGAAGAACCAAAATGAAAATAAAAACATTTACAACTAAGTGAAGAAAAACACACTTAAAATGAAGCAAAGAAAACACAATCCAAACCATGATTTAAAGGAGAATATTGGCTCTGTAATATTTTATAAAACCAAACATCTTTTCAACTAAAGAGCCTAAATCCAACCAATTAAAACAGCAAACTTTACAATGCATCACAAAGCAAAACCCAACCACTAAAAAATAAAAGGGCACAGCCAATGTAAAAAACATTTTTTAAAAGAAATCATAAGGGTAATTTACAATTATAAAGCATATCCACAATAAAGATTAAA